CTTTAGCGACCTGACCCACCTGGCCGCGTTGGCCTACAAGCGTTTGGCTCCTGAGGAGGTGGCCGACTGGTTGCACTTGGATGACGCGGCCCCGGGTACGGAGGAGGACGATGGGGAAGAAGACGCTGAGGAGGAAGGCCCTGGGGGTTGCGGGGCAGAGGAGGATGAGGAGGAGGCAACTACCGGAGATGGAGGTGGCAGAAGGAGCGGGGAAGGAGGGGATGCCTTATTGCCCACGGCTCGGGAAGCCATCAGAGGTCTGGAGACGGCGCTGCGCTGGCTGGAGGGTCAGGACCCCCGGGAAGTAGGGCCGCTGAAACTGGTGCAGCTCCGCTCCCTCATCAGCATGGCCCAGCGGCTGCACCGCGGCGGCAGCCCTCATTCCTAGGGCACGGCGACCCACGACCTCTCGGCTACCAACCACGGGGCTGGGGACACCTCGGTTGTCCCAGGGAGCTGGCGGTGGAGGTGCCAGCTCCCCTCAGCCCTCCATCATGGGCAGACCCCGGGGCTCAGGAGGCCTGAACACCCCTGGATTACCACAGCTAAGGAGGGGGGGGGTTACAATTTAGGGCTAACGAGGGGGTTTGTGCAACAACCCCTACATACCTTGCGTATTTGAGGGTTGTTCCTCACCCTAAGGATATTTAGGAGGTGCTATTTTTTAAATCCCATGAGACTGAGCAGAGGTGGCCTCCTGGTCACTGGCATTGCTCACATGCCCCCCATGTTGCCCAGTCCCCCCAACTCTGGGGGGGGAGAAGGGGTGAGGGAGGGACCTGCTCGGTGTCACCACAAGGAGCCGGGACAATGGGGGAAGTTACACTAAGTAATTCCCCCCCCATCTCGGAGTGGGGCTGAGGTGGGCACAGCTGGCTGGACAGGGACCACTCCTGGGGTGCTGTAAGGCAAACATCTTGCTCTGGAAGAGGGTGGTGATCCCCTTCCCACTGCTGAAACGGAGTCCTGTTAAACTGGGGAGGTTTGGGGCTGGTTTAAGACAACTGTCTTCATGCACTGGATTGGGACAGGGACACTTGGGTGGCATCCAAGAAGCTGCGGCTCCCCGGAGAGGGTCACCTCCATCATTCCCATGACAGCCCCATGCCCGGGAACACCCGGACTACAGAGACCTGCTGAAACAGGTACCAGCATCCCAGCATCCTCACGAAGCCGAAGGCTCCGGGGATGGGGGTTGAGGTGCCCAACCCGGGGTTTGCAGCGTGGCTGAGGCTGGAGGATGCGTCTTGCGGTGCAGGGGTGATGCGGGGTGATGTGCATCGCAAGTTGAGACAGGAGTGGGGAGGGCTCCCGGCACAGCCTTGAAATACCAAGGTCATCAGATGTGAATTTAGCAGCTCTTGACCTGATTTGGATTGAATTTTAGCCTGCTTAGCCAAATTATTGAATGGAGCTAAAAAAAACCCCTCACAACTCATCAGTGCTGCCATGCCCCATGTCGGCAGGCAGGATGGATGTTTTTACTTGTCGGGTCTTTGTCTCATAACTTCAGAGTTTATGAAAATTAAATGGATTTTTATTCCCAGTTTGGGGTTGTCGTCTGTAAACAGTCACGCGAAGCCATCCCAGCGGGATGGGGGTCAGCACAAGGGGGACGTCCGTGGGGTTGTGTCCTCTCGGTGTGGTCTTCTCCATCGTGTTCCTCTCCGCAGCCTGTTTAACGCGGCAGGGCCAGGCAGGTGCCCGAGCC